TATGGCACTAAACAAGCTTTGGAAAATGATCAATTTGCAAGACAGTCATATACACTTCTATAAACAAAGAAAAAGTTAAATTACTTAACTATGTGATATTTTGCTCTAAAAGATAACTACACTTAAGGAAGCAGAACATCGGTAAATATACATAATGTTAACATAATAAGTAGTGCAGGAAAACCTTACAAATCCTGACTACTTACACAGTCCTAACTTCTCTTTAGCACCAAAGATCAGAGATTTAAACTACTTCAAAATACCAGAATGCACATATTTCTCTCTCTTAAAATCTCTTACATATTTTGACATATTTTATAAGCCGATGAAAATTTTAGTACCTTCTTCACAACAACAAACTACAGTATTAAAAGAAGTTTCATATAAAGCAAGAACTCTTTCAGCATCAAAAACTTCATGCATTACTCAGAAATAAAAGACTAGAAACTCATTAAACAAGTATGTTTGGAACTACTAATTTAGGCTGTGTTACCTTATATAGTCATTAAGGCCAGCAAGCAGATGATGCAGAGCAAGAAGAATTGTTGCCAGTTACTTTAGACTGGAAAATATGAGAACAAAATCTAATGGTAGCTGCCAACTAATTCCTCTTCTCTTCTAACAAAAATATTGAAGAAAAGCTTTCCTTGGCTGCAGCCACTTGCTCTCTAGTAAGAGCACAGAATTTGGTTACTGCTATAATAAGCATTATTTCACATATTTCTACAGAAGTCAGAAAAATAAACACAAAGAAGACACTCTGCAGTGGGGAGAGAATTCTGCTTGGAAAAAAACTAAACATCCACGTATAACTGCCAAAATTAGGGAATAACTTGGTTCAAAGATAGATTTTTTGAAAAGTCCACCCTTAAGTTTGCTCAGACCTTGACTACTAACTTAGAGTTTAAATGAAAGAAAGGAAGGTGAAAAGCACTTTTAATATTTTTGTAATTGAATACTTTTCTGGAGGGCTTCAATTTTTATGTTTCATACTACTTCCCATCCTTTTTTGCCCCCCCCAGTCAACCACATGCTCTATAAAGTGGCATGGGGGTAGGAGTAAAGACAAAACTACCCTAGACAAAGTCTTTCCCAAAGTTCAAAAAGCTACTCTCCACAAATAAAAGGTGCTTCATCTGATACATTTTCAGTTTAGTATCTCAGGTGCAAGTTGTCCCAGTTAAGCACTTTGCAAATGAGTGGAGCAGGGACAGAAGGACTGGTCAGACAAGCCGAGCTAAAAGCTGACCGGAGAGGTACCTGGGAGTATCAGAAGCGAAAGGCTCAGACAAATGCCACCAGAGCATGAATCTGGGAACTGCTTACAAGCACGCCTGCTGCTGATCTCTCCTCCCCATCCCTGCCAGCTTTCCCACCTCTCCCCTAGCGAGCAGCAAAGGCGCAGAGGCTGCAGGAGGTTCCCCGGGAGAGCTCTCCAGACATCCTGCGCCGGGTCGTGGCTCTGCCACCTTCTGCAGAGCACTATACTCTGGTTTCTTTCCCAGTGAAGACAAAACAGAACTGAGAGAGACAACACAAACCACCCCTACAACACGAAGTAAGGTCATTCCTGTAGAAAAAAAATGTAAAGCCTGTGTCCAGACAGCTAAACTCTTCTCCCTGCTCCTCTAAACTAGAGCGTTTGCATTTAACGTTTTTATTGGATTGTCCCTGTAATGAGCTGGGCACAGTATTGAGTCTGGAAATTGTTTGGGAGAGCACTAAATAGCAAAACAATATCAGAGAGTACGCTAACAATTACACAGCGCAGGCTACCATAAGGCAGCGTTCAATCCCTGTCAGGGCTCTGCTTAGTTTGTCAGTATAAACATGAGCACAGATAGCCCACACTTACACTGCTCAGCCAAAGGGTGAAGAGAAAACTTAAGCAGACACATCTCAATGTTGAGCTTCCGAGAAACGTGTGGAAATCCAAATGTGATTCATCCTAATGTACTTCCCCAACCCCTTCCAAATAAGAGCAAGGCTACTTTATCAGACTTTCAGGAACCAGTTAACTCCTTTGAAAAAAATCACTAAATTACCCACAAAACATATCCAATTTTTTTGCATGTTTTTCTAAGATTGAAGTCAACATTCCCTCTACCCAAGCCCACATGGTTTCTCTAAAGAGATGAAACAAGCCACATAAATTACACAAATAACATCATATTTTCTATAACATAAACATCCATACAAACCTATCTTGTCAACAAGCTTGCAAGAAGTTATCATAGGACATTTTTTCAACAGAATTGTGTTACAAGACTGTGATTTCATTGAAGAAAATTACAATACACCTAAAGCTGTTGAAATATTCATTCCCACCTTCCAAACCTTGAAAACTAGATCAACTTGGTAGAGATGCAGACTGCTGGGGTAACCATGACCAGTTTGAAACTGTTTCAAAGTGCCCAAACCCATATAGCTGTAATTTAATCTAACATAGTCTGAAACTGCTAAATATTGACATCACAAGTTTTACTAATTATCCACAGAAACAAAAGCTTCCAATGGAATATATACTTTCAAGCATGAGATGGAAACAATTTCTTTAAAGAAGTCTGTGTAGCATAAGAATTTCCATGACGTTCACATTTTCTTTTAAGCTTTCTTACTGGTACCTATTAAAAGCAGTGTCAAACTTCAAATCACTGAAATCACCTTACACACACACATATACAGCATCAAAGAATTTTCCACCTGCCAAGTGTACAATCTGTATTATGTTCTCCTTTATATTTTCCTAAAATAAGATTGTTGCATGGACTTTGCTGCATCTGTGAACATTTCTTGATGCATCTGTAGATTAAAAAGAAAACCTCCTTGAAGTAATAAAATCTAGACTAGAATTACTGTAATATTTTATAAGATTTAATTCAGTTAAAACTGCAGAGTATTTCTAACTTATTTTGAGACACTGAAAATGACATTTTCTATCTATCCTCAGTTCTTCTACCAATGCTACACCAAGATACCAAAAGACATACTTGATGCTTGTCAGCCAACCTTACCTCCGAGATTCAGACTACAGCTTTTGAAGTGAACAAATCACTCCAAGGGGCAACAATCCACTATATATAGTGCCTTTTCACAGCACAAACTTCAATGACATACTTGTATCCCTTTAATGTAGAGGAAAGTGTTGACCTGAAATTCTATGACTACACCATCCAGGTTCCCAGCTTTCAAAAACTGTATTTGTTTCAAGTTCACACTTGCTGTTTTTTAAAAAGAACCTGTTTAAATTCAGCACAAAAAGGCAAGACAGCCAAATAAAACATAGCTTCTCACAAAATGTAACTACCAGGCAACTTGTGATAAGCTAGAATTCAGAAACGTTTGTTGCCTCAGAAAACTCCTTTCTAAGAGGCAGAAGCTTTCTTCCTCTTCAGTGAGCTAAGAACCATTCTCTTTAATTCTGATACGTCTGGAATGACAACATTATTGAATCCTGCAAGAATGCACATCATTTTGGTGCCAGCCTCCCTGTACTGGCTGAGTCAAAAATAAGCCCAGCCACTTCCATTGCTGTTTGGGTAGTAAAGAGGGAACCCTAGCAAGGATCTATAAAGTATATCACAGTTTCACTTAAAGAAATCAGTTACATCTACAAAAAGGTGGTAACACACAGTAGAATCCTGGACAAATGCTGTAACACCTTAGGAGTAACTTTAGGTTGTACATGATTATATTATTTAAAATTAAAGCCTCTCTTTTAATTACTAATAAGTATTTTGGACTCTTACTGAGTTATGGTCAAACCTCCTAGGTAATGCCAGCTAGAATGCCCAGGTTCTCACCTTCTCCAAGACTCACTAGGGTGGATATAACTCTAGAGCCTGTCTGTGAGAATCATTCAGGAAGAGCTACAGTTATGGCAATCCTAACGGATGCAGATCTAATCTGTTCTTAAGAAACATCAGTAACAGAGATTCACAGTGTCTCCAGGCAGCCCACTGCAGCGCTTCTCTACCACTCAGCCTTTCCCTCACACTCCTGGTCAATCCCAAAACATCCTTACTGCGATTACTTGTTATCCTATCTGTCACTCACAGGCAGAACAGGCTGCATGCTTCTTTTTCCGTAAGAGTCTTTAATGTCTGAAGAAGATACTCTCCTCTGTATTCTCTAAATTCCTGTTCTTTTTGTCTGTCCTCGAGGGTCAAGTTTATCCTAATCTCCCTATTTTGGAGACCCTCCAACTTGTCAATACCTTTGTTGAAGTGCTGTGCCTAAAACTGAAGTAATTTGTGTGTTATCCTCTGGCTGACACATGCCAGTCTAGCTGTATTGTTTTCATAGCAGCGAGACCTCGCTGGCTTACCCTTTTTCCCGCCATTATTCCTGCCCAAATATGCACTTTGACATGACACGTATTTCAACTGAATTACATGACACCCCCTCTCCCTCCAAATTCTGCTACTGTCACGAATGCTTTGAATTCCACCTCCATGTCACTCTGTGCTTCACCCATTCCCATGCTTGGGTCATCGGTAAATGTTCCAGAGGTTGCCCACCTGGCACCTAGGATAAAAAACTTCCATCATGAGAGTTGAGTCATGTCAAAACACCCATTCCAGCTTTAGTTTGTGGTTACATCAGCACGGTTTCAAAAGAACATTGCACAGATCCAGTCGTATTCGAACCTAGAACCATGCTTACCTGCGGACTGTCATGAGAAACATAACAAAAGCGAGCTGCTTTTTTTTTTTCTTTTTTTTCAAACAACCTAGATGGTACCTATTGATCCTCCCCTTTCCAGAAGACTTGTAAGAAAAATTTGACAGCTTTGACAAAACACACTTCATAATTCCAAGGTAATTATTGTTCATCCTGTTTTCTTCTAGTATTCATAAATTTTGTCCACTATTTCTCAACCAAATGGTAGCAATTTCCCAAATTTTCTCCTTTTTCTGCTTGATTCTTGCTCCAACATTTTCTGACTACAGTCAAGAGAACTCTAAAAAAGAGGAAGAACAAGAGATAAAAGTACTTACAGGCTTCCTAAGGAAAAAAAGAGATAGTGCTCCAATTAGGGGCATGTCCCCAATTAACGGTTCCAGGATAACCCTCATAGTGCCATGGATCTGTGAGGAAGGGGAGGAAAAAAAGGCAAAGAAACTGACTTTAGTTCACGTTTTAAATAAAATTTATTCACTGAGAATGCCCACACTTGATTAAAATTTTTTATTATGGAAGGATTTTTATATATATATATATAGTTTTACATGTCATCCAATCTCCCAAAATTAACACAGTCACTAAATACTTGGGATTACAAATTCATTACATTCATCTATATGCTGCTGTGTCACGTTAGTGGTAATTTTGTCAAAAATAGGAGGTAGGTTATTTATATAGCTCAATTTAAACAAATGTGCCAGAAAACAATACAATGGCATCCACAGAAAGTAGAGCAAAAGTAGGTAAATGCTTACAGGTATGTCAAGACACACAAAAAAAGAATACTCTTTTTCCTTGTTAGAGAGACAGATCTGTTATCAGAAAGTTAAAGAAAGTTGAGAAACAGTATCAGAAGGCAAGACTACTAATAACAATTTCATCTAGACTAATAATTACATCTAACACCTAAATATTAAATAAAACAAAATTTTAAGCTCCAAGGTCCCTATACGAATCTACACATCACATGAACATCGGCATGATTTGAAGTTATCTCCATCTTTTCCAGTAGGAAATGTTATATATTTAAAATGGTTCTCTCTGAAAGGAATTTACCTTGACAGTGAAGTCACGTTACTGAAAATATTGTGCAATATCAGTACTACACAACAGAGAAAAATCGCAAGCAACAAAATTACAGGTACTGGTTCTTTCCTACAAACTATTCTACGAGAAAATAATGATTCAGTGATGATTACCAAAATCAAAAGAAAAAACATAGAGTTTCACCTGTATACTTTTCACACCAGCTCTGCAGAAGTATCTCTTGATCTCCAAATCAATTTCACAGTTTCCAACAAAGCTAAAAGAAAACAAAAAAAGTATATTTTTTATGGACTAAATAGCAATACTCTGTTAGTTCTGTTTTGTAATGTCATGAAGTGTATTTTGTACGTGAGTCTATACACAAAAAATGCATGTTAAAATACTACAACATATAAAAAAGTCAAGATTGTTAAAAAAATTACATCCTCTTCAAAACATCATCACTGTCATCAAAATCCCTGAAATTCTTAGATAGGTGTGTTATCTTCTCCAGAAGCATACACAAGAGAAAACATGCAAGTAGCCTCACTTTTGGGAAATAACAGATACAGAATTCATACTCCACTTCAGGGAAGCTCTACAACAGTCTCATTCGTGTATGTACCCAAATTCACTCTCATCTAATACAATCACAAGAAGCACTAGATAGAGGAGGTTATTTAGCTAAAAATTAAATTTGTCTGAAATATTCAGAGACTTACAAAACCAGACATATTTAGAAATTCAATAAGCTGTGCATGCTGAGCTGGATGATCCACTAAGCAAGGTTTAAGTCAGAAACAGCGGAGCCCTTCCTGAAAGGACAGAGGAGGCAGGAAATGAATTACAAAATAATATATTAAAAACGATGCAAATTTTTCCCTGAACAGTTCTTGCATCTCATTTTGGGGGATGCAAGGTCAAGGGCTTGAAATGTTGTAGGTGCTGGTCAGGTATTGACCTGAGGGACTCGGGGGTGATGACTGATCAACGGCTGAGCACGAGCCAGCGGTGTGCCCAGGGGGCCAAGGCGACCAACAGCACCCGGGCCTGTACCAGCAATGGTGTGGCCAGCAGGAGCACGGACTTGTCACTGGTGAGGCTTCAACTCAAGTGCTGTGTTGAGTTTTGGGTTCCTCCCTATAAGACACTGAGGCACTAAAGCATGTCAGAGAAGGGCAACAAAGCTGGTGAGGGGTCTAGAGCAGAAGTCTGATGAGGAACAGCTGAAGGAATCTGGGGCTGTTTAGGCTGGAAAAAGGAGGTTGAGGGGAGACCTTATCGCTCTCTACAACTATCTGAAGGGAGGTTGTAGAGAGGTGGGGGTTGGTCTGTTCAACCAAGTGACAAGTGATAGGACAAGAAGAAAAGGCCTCGAGTTGCAAGTTTAGGTTGGATATTAGAAAGAATTTCTTTACTGAAGGGGCTATCAGGCAATAGAACAGGCTGCCCAGGGCAGTGGCGGAGTCCCAACCTCTGGAGGTATTTAGGAGTTGTGTAGACATAGTGCTTAGGGATATGGCTTAGTCAAGAATATGTCAGTGTTAGGTTAATGATTGGACTTGGTGACCTTAAAGGTCTTTTCCAATCCAGGCAATTCTGTGGTATCTCAGCAAGATATTTCTAGAAGAGGGTAAAAAAAGTCTCACCTATTATGCCCATACTAAAAGACTATATGCAGACAACTCAGATTTTAGCAGCTGCTTTTCCTAAAGCTCCATGTAGGTGAAAAATGTACCAGCAGAGTTGAGCAGGTCTTTTTCAACAACTCCTGCTGTCACACTGGGTCTGAAAACCAAGTAATTCTGAGACTCGACAAAGAATTTAGGAAGAAAGGTGATGGAACAACTTATCCTTGGTGTTGTCTCTAGGCATATCAAGGATAAGAAGGTTATTAGGAGCAGTCAGCATGGCTTTGCCAAGGGGAAGTCATGTTTGACCAACCTGATAGCCCTTTATGAAGACATAACCAGGTGGATGGATGGTGGCCATGCAGTGGACGTGGTCTATCTGGATTTCAGCAAGGCATTTGACACCGTCTCCCACAGCATCCTCGTAGCTAAACTGAGGAAGTGTGGTCTGGATGACCGAGTAGTGAGGTGGGTTGCTAATTGATTGAAGGGAAGAAGCCAAAGAGTTGTGGTCAATGGGACAGAGTCTAGCTGGAGGCCTGTGCCTAGTGGGGTCCCTCAGGGGTCAGTGCTGGGGCCAGTGCTGTTCAATATATTCATCAATGACCTGGATGTGGGATTAGAGAGCACTGTACGGGGAGGAGTGGCTGACACACCAGAAGGCTGTGCTGCCATTCAGAAGGACCTAGACAGGCTGGAGGGTTGGGCGGGGAGAAATCTGATGAAGTTCAACAAGGGCAAGCGTAGAGTTTTGCACTTCGGAAAGAATGACCCCATGTGCCAGTACAGGTTGGACACTGAATTGCTGGAGAGCAGCGTAGGGGAAAGAGACCTGGGAGTCCTGGTGGGCAGCAGGATGCCCATGAGCCAGCAATGTTCCCTCGTGGCCAAGAAGGCCAATGGTACCCTGGGATGTATTAGAACGGGAGTAGCTAGTAGTTCGAGAGAGGTTCTCCTACCCCTCTACTCTGCCCTGGTGAGGCCACATCTGGAATATTGTGTCCAGTTCTGGGCCCCTCAGCTCAAGAGAGACAGGAAACTGCTTGAGTCCAGCACAGAGCCACAAAGATGATGAAAGGAGTGGAACATCTCCCTTCTGAGGAGAGGCTGAAGGAGCTGGGTCTCTTTAGCTTGGAGAAGAGGAGGCTGAGGGGTGACTTCAGAAATGTTTATAAATATGTCAAGGGGGAGTGTCAGGAGGACAGAGACAGGCTCTTTTCAGCAACGTCCAATGACAGGACAAGGGGCAATGGGTGCAAGCTGGAACACAGGAGGTTGTGGAGTCTCCTTCTCTGGAGACATTCAAAACCCACCTGGATGTGTCCCTGTGTGACCTACTGTAGGTGACTCTGCTCTGGCAGGGGCCTGGACTAGATCTTTTGAGGTCCCTTTCAACCCCTGACATTCTGTGATTCTGTGAAGAAAGCTTTAGAATGATTTAGCAAGGAAACTGGTCAATGATTCTACAGAATGAGAGCTAAATCCAAAATTTAACAGATTGAATACTAAGCTATACCTAGGGAGAGTGGCTGGACGAGGAAACTGGGTAAGAAGATATGGATTATAATGAAAGGACAAATGGAATCTGAAGCGTTTTCTGAACAGACTAACCAGTTAAGATAATGGCAGAAGGAATTAAGTGGGGAGGAGATAAGGCAGCTTAAACAGACTGGGAGGAGGGGAAAAATTGTTTCCTCTACAGGTCATCCTGTTGGCCACTCTGCAGTAGTGTCCCACCTTTCTCAGACCTAGCTTGAACAGTGAAAAACTATTCAACTGCGTTTAGAAGTCTGATGGAATCTGTTCAAAAGATAACACTATGCAGAATTATTTTGGTAAAATAACCAGTTTGGGGAACTGGAAGATGGGGGTCTATGTGAAAGGAAGGTGAGCATTGCTGCCCCTGGAAAGAATGCAGTGTGACTGTACAGTTTAAAAATAGGTATATAACTTCTAACATGCAATTCAGAACGATGCAATTTCTATTTTTACCTATCTAACTACATATAGGGATAGTAGATAGATATATATAAAGACAAACAAAAATATATAATTGCATAACAACATCACACAGAGAAGCAAGGTCAATTAAAACCTGCATCTGAAACCTCAATCTTGGCACTTCGTAGCACCGGAAGTATTTGTGTTATGAAGACTGGAAAGCAATATGCTCGTCTGAAAATCCATAATAATATGATGACAAATTGAAGTAAAAATAGTAACATCTTTTAGCCTTATTATAACCATGGATTTATTTCCTAAGAGATTTGTCTGGGTCCATTAACAGTCAACACCATACAGAATTCTGCTGTAATGTAACATACGACTTGAAGGCTTATTTAGTAAGCTAATCCTATACATTCAGATCATAATATTACAGAAATATTTATGATCCCTGTAATGTACAGATCACTGAGAGAGATGACAGTTTAATGAGAGAAGTCTTGTAAGAATATAACTGCAGCTGTACTGAATGAGAGGCATAGTATAACTCTATGTGGTCATTTTAGCCCACAGAACAGAAGAAAAACAAACAAGCAGACAAACAAAGAATAGCATAAACAAATTTCCCAGATTACAATGATCTGTGATTCTGTACTTTGGACCTCTTATTATTTTTTAGAAGGTCTTTATCTCATTTTTATATCTGTCTTCTGAGAGTACAATGACAGCGTATTTCTTCATCCCAGTAAGCCACAAGAAAAAAAAAATTTCATGTGTTTTAATCTGCAGCCTGAAACTTCCTTTTAGTGCCTTTATGTTTTGTGCCATGAGAAGGTGAAAAAAGCTCACTTGTGCATTATTAACAAGTATTTCCTCAATCTCAATCTTTTTCAGCTTTCTTTACTGCAGTTCACTTTTAATTTGACAGTTTATCTTGTTTAGTGTTGATACATAACCTTTGATTTTCCTCAAGTGTTTACTACTTTCATGCACTTTGGCAAATGTAAGATCTCCATTATTAAGAATTTATTTAGACTTCATTTGCTCACGTGGTTAACATTTCTTCCCTTATACACTTTCATCACCAGAAACTAAACTTTTAAAATTTAACATGACTTTTGATAATTTAAGATAAAGCTCACAGTAAGTAAGAGAAAGGTAAAGCGCTTCCTTTGCAAATGTGATCCTGAAAGTGAATCTTTAAATACATTTTCCAGTGACTACTTTTTTGATTTAGCTTGTCAAGCTGCTTACAAGAGTCAAGTTCTTAATTGGATCCTGAGCAATGCACGAAACCTGCTCCAAAAGGTTCTGAAAAATACGCTGGAGCAATGGTCATAACGCTCTCAATATCCTTGCAGAAACAATAAAACTAAATCAAAATACAATCTTTTTGCATTTAAAAGCAAAAACTAAGAAAACTGTGAAGATGCACAAAAATACTAAAGACGTGTTCTGGAGACACACTGAAACTCCTTAAATGTACGCCATGGAAAGTCCAAAGCAAACACATATACCCCATCACAAACAACTGACAGTAAAAAGGACTAAAGGAAGCCACTACAGTGAAATAGCGGGATAAAAGATTATTAAAAGAATGAATGTACTTAAGAAAAAAATAAAAATATAAATAAAATAAAATCTTTCCTTCCCTCCCCCCTGCCACACACCCCCATAGGACTATTGTCACAAATGCTCAGAGAGATTGTTTTCCTTCTCAAATGCATTTAAGGAATAAAGAGTTTAAAAAAAGCTCCTAACTTTAAACTTAAATTAAAAATAGAACAAACTAGGTTTTACTGGAGATTTTAAATCTACAGGGATAAATACTCCAAAGGACAGACTCTCCTCCAGCAGTAAGACCGTTCTTTATAATCTAACAAAACCGAAGTTCAGTTTACGGTTGCTACCTGTATGTAACTCTGTATCTAAACAAACCAAGAACATTTATTAGAGATTCTTATTCTTCCTTCCTGCTAATACTGAAACAACCCTGTGATGGACCCTTAGAGAACATACCAAAGAAATCCCACACCAAAGCAATAAATAAACAAAGAGTAACAAATGATACTTGGCTGCCATACGCCTTAAATTTGCCCAAGTAAAAGCCTTTGAAAAAGGGCCCTTTTCCAATGAGAAGGTGTCAAGGATAAGTCTTAAATATGAAAAAAGTACTTAATTTGATGGTGGTTTTGGCTAAGTCTTAATTGCTAGAAGCTGTAATGGTCACTCCAAGGCTTGCTGCTTTCCATTTTCTTCCTGGCAGCCTATGCCACAGGCACCAGGGATGGGCTGTTGAGGTGAATGAGCATCCAGCTGACTCAGCACTACTGCTGGTATTTGAACCACTTCAAGGAATTTATTTCAGCCTTTTAGACTGTATTGTAGTACCTCTCCAAGTACGTTGCAATGTAATGCAACGAGACATATGAGTAAAGATTTCCTTCAGGCCTACGCAACAGGACATTTTTCCTGAGATTAGGTACAAACCTACTGCCCTTTTTATGTTTACCTGTCTCAACCTACTTCCTAAAGATGAACAGGAGGGGAAAAAAAAAAAGAAAAGGAGAAACACTAGATTTACCCTCTCCTGTGGAAATAATTCCACTTTAATGGGAAGAAATTGTCTTGGGAGACTTGGTCCCTCAAATGTCTCAAAAATAGCTTCTCAAAAACAATTTCTTTGCACTGGGTCCATAGTGTTCAGACAAGTCTGTTTTCCTGAGGGCTTAAGTCTGAAGAGGTGAGGCTGTTTTCACAGCTGCTATCAAAAAAAAGCAAAAACTGAAGGCAATTTCTCCACTAGGGCTAACATGCAGTGAAACAAGTCTACAAGAAACAATCCTGTTGTATTTTGACCAGCCACATCAATCCCTGATTTGGATAGCGGTCTTTTTCCTATACAAATAAAGTAATTCAATTTAATAAAGATTGGGCCCTGCTCACAGATGTAGCCCCTACCATGCCCTGAAACTCAGGAAAGGATGCAGCAGCAGCATCTTCTCTTCTCACTCTGAGGCTCAGCTTTGACAAAGCAGCATAGTCTTCAACATAGCTGAGATATAGATAAACAATTCAAAATTAAGAATGACCAAGTTCAAACCTTGGACATGATGCTGAAAAAGAGAAGCTGAGAGGCCTAAATATTCTTCTGGTTACTGCCAGGGAAGCAGCAAGAAACATTGAAGTCTGCTCTTTCCTGCATCATCAGTGACTGACAAATCTGGCCTTTCCACAAACTACAAATGGCAAAAGTAGTCACTGTAACACATATCCATGATGGTCAAATATAAAAACATTGCTGGGTTCCCTGACTGAGCATTCAAAAAACTCTTTAACTGCAGACTGTGTTGAGAAAGAGTTTGGCAAATGCTGCATAGATCTATTTATAATCCTTATAAAAAACGAGTCGTGATGAAAGGGCAAAGAAACCTGAAGCAGGAGAGCACAGTCGCTCTGACATTATATAATACATAGATTTACTTTGGTTACTGGTATGAGCACAAGTAATTTGGCAGCTATAGTTTTCTTCTTCTAATATCATGCTTATAAAGAATCTAAATGAACTGAGAAATGTTAAAACACCCAGAGAAGTTACATCCTAAATTTTAGACTAGACTAAACTTCATGGCAAACTTTTAATACATTAGGAGAAAAAAAATCATAGATAGTGAATTAGCTTTGGAAAGTTTTTTTTTATTAATCATCATTACTTTAATGATGCAGTCATGCTGAGTTGATATACTATTTCCCTCTGATAAAAGCTATTCACTGCCTGCAGTTCCTTCCTCCATTCACACACAACTAGCACTAATTACATTTGTGTAATGAAGCAATTATCCTTTCAGGCCCACGTAACTGCCGAATCAAAACAAAGTACGTATTAGAAAGCATAGGCACCATTGTAACAGATACTGAAGTTTACCTGATTTGAAGATCCAAAATGATCTGCCTTTTGTCCACATTTTCAGTGTACACTTTTACACCATTTATCCGCAGAGGCTGGAACAATGAAGTAAGCAGAAGCTGGATCATTCTACTGAACTACAACATACTAATCTCTTCTTAACTTCGAAATAAAGGTGACTATACACACATTCATGGCTGAAGTTAAGAATTTACTGTAAGAATTATTAAAAGGAGTGAAGCAAGTTATCAATTTAGCTCTACATATTATTTCAAAGGTAAAAATTACCTTGCTAGGATCCATTCCATCACAACTCTTCTGGCTAATGCCCTGAGTTTAGATCAGCACATTTCAAGTTTTACAAAAGATTTAATATCAAAAGCTTTCTTCCTCTCCAGAACAAGCAATTCATTTCTCTGTACTACTATATCAGACAAAACATTCTTTCTGGGCAACAACAAGCTAAATTTAAGTCACAAAAAGGTAGTTGCCTTAAGTGCAGTTTAGTTGGAATAGATGGAAAATAATCTGTATGCCCCACAAAAGGTTGCATCAGTCACTGTGTGTGCTCTCTCTAAATCACCATGCTTGTGCTCTCCCTCTCTCACACAGAAACAACACTAATCAGTCAACCATTCCCAAGACTCAAATGTTCAGCAAATACTAGGCAGGAGAGGATGACCAGTGACCTCACTTAACACCACCTCCAGTCACATTTTGAGATTTTCCTTTCTGGAAAAAAAATGCCATATTTCTACATACATCTTTTTAGTAATTTAAGTAAAATAGAAGTCTCACTGTTGTCGGATTCTGCCTATGTTTGGGGCTGTGGAGCTTACAGAATCCAACTTACTCAAGGCTGCAATACAGAGTAAGTGCAGCTGTTCCTCACACTCAAACTAACTCAGTCCAGCCACAGATGTGTACAGAGGTGTAGAAGCTAATTTAAACCCTACTTAAAATTAGTATAGCTTAAAAGAAATGCTATTCTACGGTCTGTAATACATGTGTATCTAAGGCAGGACAGAGCCCCTGTGTAAAAGGGTTTACAACCTCAAAAAAAACCCCCCAAAACCCACAACAAAACAAACAAACAAAAACCAGACACACAGTTTTATTTTAATATTACAATGGAAACCAGAATCAGGCTTACCACCCAGTGACACTTTTTCTGTGTAGATCTAAAGAGGCTACATGAAAACAGTTTGCAGTACAAAGCCTCTCAGAAAAACTTCACCGGACACTGACCTGATGACCAATATCAATCTTCGTAAAACTGAAGGTACTGAGGTGGTTGTTTGCTCCTCTTACTGCTGGTTCTATGGTCTCTCGGAAGAGTTTCTCAATAAACTGGCAAATAAAAGGCCACATCTGTTTTACAGTCTAAGGGGGGAAAAAAAAAAAGAAGCCACATGGAACAAAATTTCACACATAACTAAAAAAATATACTTTAACGTATATGTAAGAAATTTTTTGTAAAGTTTTAAACATACAAGTTTTCTATACAGTTCATTACAGACATAAGAACTCATGCCTTTTTACATACAGGCACGTTTTCTGGACTTATCTCAATTTGTGCCGTTTAGAAATTTGCACAAATTTGAAGCACTGAAGGAGAACAAAAAGAGCATTAAGAATTTTCTTCTTCTATCCCACAAATGCATATATATTCAGCACTGATGCTTGAATGTTGGGGAGTAGTGTGAAGAGTGAAGTTTATTTGCATGTAAAGAGAGGAATAAGAAAAAAAATGGGTCAAGTGCACTTCTTATATACATGCATAAGGTTTATAACTGTAAAAACAGTATTTTACTGTCACATCTGAAAATTCTATATTGTTTCTTTTTTCTCACTATTTTCTAATTAACTCAGCTCTTCTATGCTCTTTGAAAAGATATTTTTAAAAACCTCAAGCTCCATAGATCTCTATCTCAGATTATCACACACAGAAATTAAAAATGCAAAATTGATTTATTTTTAGATTGTAGGTCAGGAATCCACAGTAACTGGCAAGTATCCCAGACAAGTAGAACATAAAAGACTGTTTACAGCTATGACTTCCACACAATTATAGTTGTCATTATTTTATTGCCATTTATCGTCACTCTCCAAAACTTACAATGTCAAGACCATGAAAATAGATTTAATCTTTCTTGTGACTAACTGGATCAGCAACCATAATCTTCAAGTGTATAAAGCGCACAGAAAGTTAAAACTACTCTCTTCTCTGATCCTTGCCTCACCCTTCTTTTTAACCTCAGATTTCCCCCTTCCCATTTGGAAGCAAAGCTAATGACTACCCTTACCTTGTTGAGCCATTCTGCCCTCTCTGTGTCTGGAAAATGGACCTGAAAAAAACCCAAAACACCACAAAAAAAAAAAATTAATACAAATAGAAAACACTTTTTATTTAATCACGTTGTCATTTATTATACAGGAAAGCTTAGGGGTCTCCCTATGAGCAATGTATAGAGTAAACAAAACATCAAGCAGTTGACATTCTTGACAAGAATATTCAAACAGATAAATATATTAACTCATTTTCAAACTACACAGATACAAATCTAGCATATATTTAATAGTGGTGTCTGGAATAAAGTATTGTTTTAACACCATAAATGAACTTTAAAAAAAATAATAAGCATAGCTGACACAGCTAGTGTCAACTAAATTTACTTCTTATGTTTCAAGGGTTTTTAACAGGACATGCATGACTGCCAGAGTCCTGACTGCACTTCTTTTCATTCATGACAGATCTTTCGCAATAGCAATAAATCATGGCTAGAAATATTTAATCAGCAAAGCTGAAGCTCAGGAATACAGATTTAAGCTCTGCCAAAACCCCTTCAAAGACATTTTTAGTGATTTCTTTTCTTAAACAACTGCAGAAATCAGTAAGAGACAGAAGTATGATGGAATGGAAATGGAAGTATGATGGGATGGAAAGTATCCATCACAACAGGAAAACAGCAATTAAGCCCTGAAAGAACAGACGCAGTTTTCCAGGCACCGAAAGAGAGCACGGTCAGTAGTTTTACATCTTACAGACGCACACACCAAAGAGATAAAAACTCGAAGCAATCCAGTAGAAGCAAAGTTAGTAGAAACAAAACGCTTCTGCAACAAGATGCAGATCACACTTCTGAAACACAAAGAGGCTCTGAACACACTAAAAGACCGTGACCTACATAGACTGACTTTCGTAGAAGCAATGTCTCATCTGAATTGCGAAGTCTTAATCTCTTCATAGTGTAACAGATTGCACCACTGGTTTTAACAGCAGTGCCTACTGGTTGTTTTTATTATTCATATATCCTAAATATAAACAGTCAGTTAAATACATACTTTTTACACTGTATTTTTCAACAAGTTGGATTTGAAAGCAAGCCCCATTAATGATCATTTATTTTCAGTAATTTCTTGCATTAATGATCAGCACTAATATATGCTTGAATATACTCAGGTTACCTTCGAAACAGTCCTTAATTTCATCTATGCACCCATGTTTTATCTATGCTGGAGGATTAGCCCCTACAGCATAATCAATATCATCACTTATTTCTCTGGTCTGTTTACTTCTCAGTATTCCCAGGTCCATAACCACAGTAAGCTACACGTATTTTACAGATACTTAAAGAATACTACTGTCTTCCACTGTCAAAAGAGACACTCTTGGCATCTTCTTCAAATGACTTTTTTCAAGTATATCGCATATTTATCAAAAGCTTTACAAGCGGCACAAGAACAACTGATGATCTGCTTGATTGTAACAAAAACATTCAACAGGACTTATTTACTTAGTGAGTTTAAATTACTAATCATGGAGGAAACAGTTTTGGAACTATATTATTTATTTAGAATTCATTTCCTAGAAAATCATGGTGGATAGAATGTCAGAAGTCTGAGTTTAGAGGTTTGAGTCGTCTGAATTTAGAGGGTTTTGTTTCTTTCCTAAAACAAAAGAATACTTAATCTTTTCCTACTTCCAACACAAGCAGTTACTGTATGTACATGAATTTATAGATGAACAGAGTTTACACTCAATTTTTGTCTTGCGGGGTTCTCAAGTTGCTTCCAGTGGTCAGAGAGTTAAAGGAACAGAAAATCAAACACTATGTTAATCCTCATGCTAGTAAGTAACATTTTGATCTTTCTCCTAAAATATTTGCCTTTTGCATCTGCTGACAGAAAATGTGCCGATTCTCAATAATTAGTTACCTCTTAAGCATGGTATCAGATCAACAAGAATTTTTCATTCTGACTTGCTCAGAGGAGCAATTAGTCATGTTTATAGGGTGGGAACTCAAAGAGCTGTGCACACATGAGCTACAGCCATTGTAAAGAAGAGCACCAAAACAAATGAAATAGAAACAACAAATTAAACCCACCGTGAGGAAAGGAAACAGAAATACATGGAAATGCTAAAGGCAAACCTGGCTGCTGTAAGTAGTGCAAGTTATAACAGAGTTCACAATTCACTTTCAGTCTTCTGTACAAGTATTCACTTTGCATCAACTGGAACACACCACACTAGACTGAGAAAGACTTCCCATACTAAATATAACCTCAGCCCACATGAAATTCATCTTCCTCTGTAGAGTGATCCAACTTCCCAGATTTAGGGTATAAACTCCCAAAGACCCAGGCTGTGTTCCCTGCGCTGTGCACACAGTTGGCACTCAATACACCTGACTGCAATGAAAGAGGCTTGTCGAGGGTTAGGGCTAGGGAAGGCACTGAACGCTGACAGATGCTCTCTAACCCCTCCCCAACACGAAGAGAAAGGCAATCAGGCAGAGAGACTTATGGACTGGAAAAGAAAAATAAACCAGCTTAAATGAAACAATAATTAAAAAACCCCAACTACATACATATATATACAAAACCGATACTGAAGCCAGCTCCCCCTGCCAACAGCAACCCCCACTGATGCTGCAGAGGAGGCGGCACCAGGGAAGCCCCAGGCTCAGCGGCGGCAGGGAGCTGGATACAGGAGCTGGATTCGGGAACTTGGGATTGGGATCAAAGGCAGAAGATGGGATGGAGTCCTCCTTGGACACCGGCCATTGAATAAGAGGGCTGGCTTAACTCCCATGATCCCTCAGTTTTACACTCAGTATGACATATATGGAGTGGAATCCTCTTGCTGGTCACTTGTGCTGTCTGGAAGTCCCTGGAGGTGCAACCTTTTACTTCCTTGTGACCCCTCTTACTACCTGGCACCCCCAGTGTGGCACACAAGAGCCAGCAGTGGCCTCGGTCATTACAGGAATAAGCAAGAGCCTTTCTGCATCCCAGTCTCAGGCAGTAACTGTAAACATCAGGTGTTATCACTGCCAGTAGCAGACACTGTCTGCAAAAACATGCTGCTGACTTCAGAAAGCGCAGCCTCTCAGAGGAGACTGAGCTGAGAAGTAAAATCACGGAACAGAATTGGTTCTGTTTAGCTCAAACCAGGACAAGGCTGCATCTCCCTCTTGAACCCATCAAGCACCATTCATATCCAGTCCTAAATTCTGCAGAATCACTTGAGGTAAGTTGGGAAACAAGCAAGAGGCCACATACACTAATATCGAGGCCACATACACTAATACCTAGTCATATCTGCTAACTTAATTAATGCTTAATTTTATCTACTGTACAGTCTTTATTAAGACCTTGCTTAACGGGACATGTTTCTTAATTTTTCCACAGATTTAGTAATTATTTGTCCTTTAGTGTGCCACATCTATCATGCTCCTTATCGTTACTTGAGTTAGTACAAAGCCAATTCCTCAATTATATAAACCTAGTGTACTTCCACAGTTGCATGTGTTCACGGGCAACAGATAATACAATGAATTCCATTTTCCATTCCTATTCCTTGTCCCTTTTCCACTCTTGCTTTTCTGCTTGCTTTACTTCTAACATAATTCACAGTATCACCAAGATTGGAAAATACCTTTAAAATCATCAAGTCCAACCACTGACTCAACGCTGAGAAGTCCTTGACTAAACTCGATAGCTAAGCACTATGTCTACACAACTCCTAAATACCTCCAGGGATGGGGACTCCACCACTGTCCTGGGCAACCTGTTCCAATGCCAAATAATCCCTTTCAGTAAAGAAATTATTCCTAATATCCAATCTTATCAGTTGTCTATTCTGATGTCCAAAACATAGAGTAGATAATTCAATTTTTCATCTTCAAGACTCTGAAATCTTGAATCCATCCCACTTTTGATTCAAAGTTGAACTTTATTTAATCTTTAGATGCTCCACAAACAGGTAGGCTGAAAACAAGGTCACACATTTATCAATTTACTATCTCCATAGATTTTTAGCTGCTGTATGAGGCTGCAATACAAATTACTTTGCTCTAAGAGATTTAATATCATACACAATCTTATCCAAAGACTAGGGAAAGTCTGAGGGATGGAAGTTGGTCCTCTGCATCACTTAGGATGGACACAAGAGCATCAAGGAAATTGCACAAATATTTTATGGCCAGAAACAGAAGCAGGAATCAGACAAACTGATGTGCAAGATCTGTTAATTCCTGTATAAAAATCCATTAGACAAGCATGACAGAAAGAGACAGAAGACAAGATTTCATCAGACAGTCAAAGACTAAAAGCATTTTCCACTTGGTTTCTGTTATTAAATTGCTCATGTAGGTTTGGTAAACACTGTCTCATTTCAACCACTTGGTGTAGTTATTTATTATTCAAAAGAAAGTATACCTAGAGAGAACTGTTGCAAGAAATAACCTAATGACCATGTTCAATACCAAAATCATTATATTACATGCTCCACGATTTTTCCAATATTCCAGTTTTATCGCAAAATATTTGGAAGTGCTCAAAAAGATGTGTTTCTGCACAGTAAAAATGCACGATTTAGCTTTCTCACACAACTGCTAGTGCTCAGCTCTAAACTACTCTCATGCTTATTTCCTATTTCTGATGTGCTCATACCTTGTGCTGTCAAAAACTCAATACAGAACACAGTACTTTCTGTAATGACCAATAAAATACCAGGAAGAGCCCAGGGAATGCAGTCCCTTGTTCTGTCTTGGAAGATAGTAAAACAAAACACAGACACAAGAACCACTAGCAAGGTCCTATTTCCATAACAACAGCAGAAACATTTCTTCCCCACGACTTTTTTATTATTCAAACTCTATATATACGCTCCTCATATTGGCTAAATTAACTCAGCTTTCTGCCCAGATGATATTTGCATCTTTCTAAGGAAACAAGGCTAGACAATGAATAATAACCATCAAACGCAAACCCCACAGGCTAAGGATTGGCGGGAAATTTTGAAAAGTGAAACAGTAATCAGCAAATGAGAACAAATGAGTTCCAAAGTGCAAGTAAGAATAATATTGCTGCCTTGAATATAATTCCTCATTCATATACAGGAGGTTTCACATGTCAACATAAATGTCAATAAAAGAAAGCAGTAACAAGAAAATCAGAAACACCCTTCTGGAAGTAATGGTGAATTGCTCTCACCACGTTTACAAGTATTTAAAATTGCACAGTACTTTTTATTATTCATTGATCCTTCACTGTAAACCACTTTTCTTTTTAAAACTCTCTTTGTAGCCTTCTCCATCTTTAAAAATATTTCTCAGCCAATCCTTGTTATATTTACCTTCTATTTAATGATTAATATATAGGTCCTAAGTGTTATTTACATGAAGTGAAACAACAAAAATGGCATCTACAGTGAAAGTATGACAGTATTGCTATTGGCCAGAGTATTCCATAAAGTAAAAATGTTATTTGCTACAAACCAATTGCTTCCTCATTAACTATGTATTCATGAGAAAGTAAGAAAAGGAAAGTAAAACATGCAAACTAAGAAATGGAAGCAGGAGAAGCCACCTATGCTTTTAAAAAAAAAAAACAACAAACAAAACCCAACCACCACTGCGTATTGACTTTTGTCCCCTTCTATTCCCCCCCAAGGATTAAAGGCAAGAATTCCATTTCAGACTACACTAAAAATAACGTGTTATAATAGCTATGTTTAACAGGTAATTATCTGACTCAGCATTACTTAGCTTATGTCTAGTTCCTTCCATTTGCAGTTCAATTACTTGGTGCTCCAACTGGAAATCTTAAAGAAACTACGCTGGTAACCTTTTGATTAGGTGTAAGGTCACACAATATAACCCAGATGCTTAATATAGTTGCAATGTAACTAAGTACCCTTGAGCAGTTTTCCAGCTGTTTCACAAATCTCCCATAGATTATC